GATTCCAATGGAAAACCGGAATCCCGATGGAAATCCCGGATCCCAACACCCAAATCCCAACAAATCACACCCAGATTCCAACGGAAAACCGGGATCCCGATGGAAAACCCAGATCTTGATGGAAAACCGGGATCCCAACACCCAAATCCCAATAAAATCCACCCAGATCCCGAAAAAAAACCGGGATCCCGACGCAAATCCCGGCTCCCAATTCCCACTGGGGAATTCCCGCCCTTTTCCCAAGGGAATTCCCGGGAATTCCTCGCCTTCCTCTTGTCCTTCTTGTCGTCCTTCTTGGTGAACACGGTGTGCACCCACCAGATCTTGGTGAACATGCTGCCGTAGGCCAGGCTGAATCCCAACCCCAACAACCACAGCCGCGCCTGGAAAACACCGGAACCTTCGGAATTCCCGCCGGGATCTTCCCCCTTCCTGTTGTTCCCGTTCCCGGGGGGTTTTTCCCGCTTTTTTTCCGGGTGGTTTTGGTGGAGTTTTTGGCGCCTCCCAACCCCTGGGATTCGGGGTCTGGTTTTGGGGCTTGGGTTGGTTTGGTTGAGTTTATTCCCGGATTTCTGATTGTTCCGACTGTTCCCAGCTCTTCCTGATCCCTTTATTCCCATTCCTGGTTGGATTTCCATCTGTTCCCATCCCATTTTCTCCTGTTCCCATCCCATTTTTCCCAATTTTCCTCCATTCCCATCCCATTTTTCTCCATTTTCCCCAAATTTCCCCCATTTTTCCCCATTTTCCCCTATTCCAATCCCATTTTCCCCATTTTTTCCCCATTTTTCTCCCATTTTCCCCATTTCCCCCCATTTTTCCCGATTTTCCCCCATTATTCCCCCCATTTCCCCCATTTTTTCCCCATTTCCCCCATTCCAATCCCATTTTTCCCCATTTCCCCCCATTTTCCCGCATTCCAATCCCATTTTTCCCAATTTTCCCCCATTTCCCCCCATTCCCATCCCAATTTTTCCCAATTTCCCCCATTTTTCCCCATTTCCCCCCATTTCTCCCATTTTCCCCATTTTCCCCCATTCCTATCCCAATTTTTCCCCATTTTTTCCCCATTTTCCCCCATTTTCCCCCATTCCCCCCCATTTTTCCCCATTTTCCCCCATTCCCATCCCAGTTTTTCCCCATTTTTTCCCCATTTTTCCCAATTTTTCCCCATTTTCCCCCATTTCCCCCCATTTTTCCCAATTTTCCCCATTTTTCCCCCATTTTTTCCCCATTTCCCCCCATTTCCCCGCTCCCACCTGGCACACGAACGGGAACATTCCGGGTCCGATGTGATATCCGTCCAATCCCAACGGGAAAACGGCGGCGAGCGCCAGGGTGCATCCCACGGCCGTCATGTTGTTCAGGTAGGGCTGGGAATTCTGGATGTACCTGGAAAAACAAAAAAATCCGGGAATGACGGAATTTCCCTCCTCCCCAAGGGAAAAAAAACCGGGAAAACCCCGATGACGTCACCACTTGGGAGGGATTTTTCCCGGTTTTTCCGACTTTTCCCAGATTTTTTTTTCCCCCTCGTTTGTTGAAGTTTCTTCCCAGATTTTCCCAATTTTTCCCAGGTTTTTCCCAATTTTTTCCTGGTTTTTACCGTTTTCCCTCCTTTTTTCCCCATTTTTTCCCAGATTTCCCCATTTTTTCTGGCTTTTCATCATTTTCCCTCTTTTTTACCCTCTTTTTCCATTTTTTCCCAGGTTTTTCCCAATTTTTTCCTGCTTTTCCCCATTTTACTTCATTTTTTTTCCATTTTTCCCATTTTTTTCCCAGGCTTTTCCCAATTTTTCCTGGTTTTTACCATTTTCTCACCTTTTTTCCCTATTTTTCCCAGGTTTTCCCCATTTTTCCTGGTTTTTACCGTTTTTCCTCCTTTTTTCTCCTGTTTCTCCCATTTTTCCCAGGTTTTTCCCATTTTTTCCCAGGTTTTCCCAATTTTTTCCTGCTTTTTAGCATTTTCCCTCTCTTTTTCCCAGGTTTTTCCCATTTTTCCTGGGTTTTTCCCATTTTTTCCCAGGTTTTTCCCAATTTTTTCCTGCTTTTCCCTATTTTTCCCCAATTTTCCCCCAATTTTCCCCCATTTTTCCATTTTTCCCATTTTCCATCTGTTAAAAATTGGGATTTTTTTCACTTAATCCCCCAAAATCAGAATTTTTTTCACTTAAACCCCTAAAAATTGGGATTTTTTTCACTTAAACCCCCAAAATTCAGGGTATTTTTCACTTAATCCCCCAAAATTCAGATTTTTTTTCACTTAATCCACCAAAAATCAGAATTTTTTTCACTTTAACCCCTAAAAATTGGGATTTTTGTCATTTAAACCCCTAAAATCGAAATTTTTTTCATTTAAACCCCAAAAAATCAGAATTTTTTTTCATTTAAACCCCAAAAAAATCAGAATTTTTTTTCATTTAAACCCCTCAAAAAATCAGATTTTTTTTCACTTAAACCCCCAAAAACCCAGGATTTTTTCCCCCCCAAACACCCCAAATCCCCGGAATTTTTGGGAATCTGATGGGAATTCTTGGGAATTCTTGGGAATTCGGGAATTTTCCCCACCTCACGTGCCCGTTGTAGATGTTGAAAGCCAAACAAACGACGGCCAGGACGATTCCCAACGACGCCAACACCGAGACGGAAATGAACAATTTTTGGGAAAGGAACCGGAACGTTGTGATCACCTTGGTGTAATCGGCCGGAGGGGACCCCCCTGGGCACAAAAATCGGGACGAATCCCAAAAAAAAATTCAGGAATTTGGGAAAATCCGGGAGGATTTTCAGCGTTTTTCCTCATTTTTTCCTCATTTTTTCCATATTTTCCCCGTTTTTAATTTGCTTTTTATTCCCCCTCCCCCGTTTTTTCCAGCCCCGTTTTTAATTTGCTTTTTATTCCCCCTCCCCCGTTTTTTCCAGTTTCCCCCCATTTTTTCCCATTTTTCCCAGTTTCTCCAATTTTTTCCCATTTTTTCCAAGTTTTTCCCATTTTTTTCCCAGTTTTTCCCAAGTTTTTCCCATTTTTCCCCATTTTTTCCCGATTTTCCCCCATTTTTTCCCAGTTTTTCCCATTTTTTCCCAGTTTTTCCCATTTTTCCCATTTTTTCCCAGTTTTTCCCAATTTTCCCCCATTTTTTCCCATTTTTTCCCAGTTCTTCCCTGTTTTTCCCAAGTTTTTCCAATATTTTCCCATTTTTCCCCATTTTTTCCCAAGTTTTTCCCAATTTTCCCCCATTTTTTCCCATTTTCCCCCTTTTTTCCCTCATTTTTTCCCAGTTTTTCCCAAGTTTTTCCCATATTTTCCCATTTGTTCCCATTTTTCCCATTTTTCCCCATTTTTCCCCAATTTTTCCCAGTTTCTCCCAGTTTTCCCAAGTTTTTCCCATTTTTCCCCATTTTTCCCAGTTTTTTTCCCTGTTTTCCACCAGTTTTTCCCAATTTTTCCCCATTTTTCCCCATTTTTCCCAGATTTTCCCAATTTTCCCATTTTTCCCCCCATTTTTTCCCATTTTCCCATTGTTTTTTCCCATTGTTTTTCCCATTGTTTTTCCCATTGTTTTTCCCATTGTTTTTCCCGATTTATTTTCCCGCCGTTGTTTTTCCGGCTGTTGTTTTTTCCCATTGTTTTTCCCATTTTTTCCCATTTTTCCCATTGTTTTTCCCATTGTTTTTCCCATTGTTGTTTTTCCCTTTGTTTTTCCCATTGTTGTTTTTCCCATTGTTTTTCCCATAGTTTTTCCCATTTTTTCCCATTTTTCCCATTGTTTTTCCCATTGTTTTTCCCGATTTATTTTCCCGCCATTGTTTTTCCGGTTGTTGTTTTTTCCCATTGTTTTTCCCATTGTTTTTCCCATTGTTTTTCCCATTTTTTCCCAATTTTCCCATTGTTTTTCCCATTGTTGTTTTTTCCATTGTTGTTTTTCCCATTGTTTTTCACATTGTTTTTCCCATTTTTTTTCCCGCCGTTGTTTTTCCCTTTGTTTTTCCCATTGTTGTTTTTCCCATTGTTTTTCCCATTGTTTTTCCCATTGTTTTTCCCATTGTTTTTCCCAATTTTCCCATTGTTTTTCCCATTTTTTCCCAATTTTCCCATTGTTGTTTTTCCCATTGTTTTTCCCGATTTTTTCTCCCGCCGTTGTTTTTCCGGCTGTTTCTCACCGATCCATTTGTCGTTGTTGTACCAGGACAGGTTGTCCTTGGTGCTGTCGTAGTACCCGATCTTCTTGTACACCCCACCTGCGGCACCGGGTGACAAGGGACAGGTGACACCGGCACAGGTGACACCGGAACAGGTGACAAGGGACAGGTGACACCGGCACAGGTGACACCGGAACAGGTGACACCGGCACAGGGGACACCGGGACAGGTGACAAGGGACAGGTGA